TTAAGATGGAGTCTCAGTATCCTAGACTGGAGTGCAGTGGTACAGTCTCAGCTCACTGCCACCTCTGCCTCCTGAGTTCAAGTGATTCTCCTGGGATTTCAGGCGCCCGCCACCATGTCCAGCTAATTTATTTTATTTTATTTAAATTAATTTATTTATTTTTGGGTAAGAAAGCCAGCTGACTCTTCATTGCTTGGGGATCAGGGGGCTCAGGAGCCCTTAGTGGGGTGGGACCGCTTCGTCTTCACCATCACAGGTCTCTGGCTGCACAAGATGGCGCTGACCCTGTGGACCCCTGCCATGCGCAAGTCGGGGCAGTACTTGTGCTTGCAGATCATGTGTCTGATGCTGCTGAGCGTGGCGCAAGCATTTTTGTTGATGGTGGTCTGCACGTTGGAGGCGGCAGGCTTCTGCTGGCTGGATCTGCGCTTGACCACCACGACACCTTTGCAGTCAATTGCAGTCTCCACCCCCACAGTCTTGGGGTGAATCAGCCCCTTGTAGGAGCAGGCCTTCAAGTTATTGGGCTCGGTGCTGTAGGTCTGCCTGCTTGTCCCTCTTGATCAGGAAACTGGAGCAGTTCGGCACGACAATCCATTGCAGATTCGCAGACATGACGGCGGCTCCTCTCGCAGCGGCGTCCTGACACAGAAAGATAATTTTTGTATATTTAGTAGAGGCGGGGTTTTGCCATGTTGGCCAGGCTGGTCTCAAACTCCTGACCTCAGGTGATCTACCCACTTCAGCCTCCCAAAGTGCTGGGATTACAGGCGTGAGCCATGCGTCCGACCTTCTTTTTTCTTTTTAAATTTATATGTATTATGAGTTGTAGAGATGGGCTCTCACTATGTTAACAGCCTGAACATAATGCTGGTCTCCTGGCCTCAAGCGATCCTCCTGCCTCAGCCTCCCAGAGTGCTGGCCTTACAGGCATGAGCCGCTGTAACTTGCCAAGATGTTTACTTTTTGGAACATGCCTGAAGGATATTCTTCATGGAATGGAATTACTAGGTCGAGGGATATAATCATTTAAAAATTAGTTGCTGGCTGCGTGTGGTGGCTCATGCCTGTAATCGCAGCTCTTAGGGAGGCTGAGGTAGGAGGATTGCTTGAGCCCTGGAGTTCCAGACGAGCTGGGGCAACTTAGTGAGACCCTATCTCTACAAAATATTTAAAAAATTAGCCCAGTGTGGATGTAGCGGCATATGCCTGTAATCCCAGCTACTCAGGAGACTGAGGTAGGAGTATTGCTTTGAGCCTAAGAGGTTGGAGGCTCCAGTGAGCCAGGATTGCGCCACTGCACTCCAGTCTGGGTGACAGAGCCAGAGTCTGCCTCAAAAAAATAAAAATTAGATGCACATTGTGAAATTGCCCTCTAGAAGGGTCAACCCAGTGTATCGTCTCATCAGTCTTGCAGAAACCTGTCTGCTTCCTTGTACTTTCACCAGCACTGGTGTCCTAGTCAAACTTTTGTGTTTGCAGATCTGATAAGTTAAAAATAATATCTTCTGGTTTTACTGATTTGCATCACTGCAGCCTGGAATGACCCTGTGCATCTCTTCCTATGTTTACTGGGAAGAATCATTAAGATTTTGAGATAAATGCATAAATAGTCATGGGTGGGTGAGCATTCCAGGGGGAGGCACCTATGCAATTGCAAAGGCAAGGCATGGTGAGGGGTTATTTAGGAAAGATTTATTCAACAAATACTTACTGTGCACTTACAATATTTAAGTTGCTGTGAAGCTGCAACACCATACAAGGAACCTTCTAAGACATGCTTGTGTTCCTTATCAGGGTTGAAAATTCTAGGTGGCCTCAGGTGAGTTTTCAGAGGGGAGCCTCAGAAGTTGAGGATCTGGGTAGTTGATCCTGATCTTGTTGGGAGTATCAGCATTTCTTGGCAGGGCTTTGGAGGATAAGGAGGCTGAGATAGGGATGAGGGAAGGCAGAGATAGGGATGAGGGATCAATAACACATTCTTGCATTGTTGCTCAGGCTAGATTGCAGTGGTACGGTCATAAGTTGTCTGCAGCCTCGAGCTCCTGGGCTCAAGCAATCCTCCTACCTTAGCCTCAGTAGTTAGAACTACAGGTGCATACCATCACACCTGTCTCATTTTTTTATTTTTTAATTTTATTTTTTGAGATAGGATCTTTTTCTCTCACCCAGGCTGGAGATCAGTGGTATGATCATAACTCACTATAGCTTAGAACTCCTGGGCTCAAGCAATCCTCCTGCCTCAACCTCCTGAGTAGGTAGGACTACAGGAGCATGCCACCTTGCCTGGCTAATTTTTGAATTTTTTTGTACAGACAGGTTCTCGCTATATTGCCGAAGCTGGTCTCAAACTCCTGGCCTCAAGCAATCCTCTTACCTTGGGCCCCCAGAGTGCTGGGATTACAGGCATGAGCCACTGCACCCAGTTTGGTTTTATATTTTAAAATAGAATACATTTTAGAATAAAGTAATACAGAGCCCTGACAGATGTGTAGAGTTTAATGTGTCACAGCAGAAGAGATAGGTGTATTTAACATACTACACATACAGGTTTGGGGGTTTCAAGCAGAAGTATCTGCCTATAATATTTTTATTTTTTTATGTATTGCTTCTAGAAGGTGGATCAAATGGCATAGTGACTGTAATTATGGCTCTTAATTGTAGCTAGTACAGCGTTTAGCTTTCAGCCTGGCACTGTGCTAGAGGCTCTGCATGTGTCACTGTTAGTATTGGAAGCTAGGTATTATATTATCACCTTTGTTTTCCTTGTAGGGACTGGGGCAGAGGCTAAATGACTTGATTAAATTTACAAGAGTAGTCAATGGCAGAGCACTGATTCATCCGGGTCTTTTAAACTCTGGCACCCTGGTTTTCCCCACTATGCCATACACACTGGATTTTTTTTTTGTTTTTTTTTTTTTT